CATGTGGGCACTCGCCCCCCTGTGCAGCTCCCCGTGGCACTGCAGCCATGCCACCCGGCCTGCGGTGTCAGTGCCACCTCGCGGCAGTCGCCCCGGGCCTGGTGGCCTCTATTCTTCACCCACGCCCCACCCCGGGTGTCCCTCAGGGCTTGTAGGGGCTCACACCGCTCACTCCGCAGTGGATGGTGCCGGAGAGCGGGTGGTGGGGAAGGGTCCCATGGGGTGGGATGAGGTCCGTGCCCCCTGATGGGGTGGCCATGCAGCAAGTGGGGGGATCAGAGGCTGTACCCGGAGATGGGTGGTCCCTGTTGGATGTTGGCCATCGTGCACGGGATAAGACGGTGCCCACCTTGCCCTGCCTGCTGCGAAGGTCCCGCACCCACAGCCCGTGGAGGGGCAAGCCAGGTCTGCAGGGGGTTCTGGGCTGGAGCAGCTGGGCCCATGGGTGAACTGTCAGGAGACTACACTGGTGGGTGAACCAGCAATGGGGGGAGAAAGTGAGGGAGAGGGGCCCAGGTGGGGACGTTGGCAGAAGAAAGCCAAGCACTTTGGAAGCTGGAGAGCCTGTGGGATGGAGGAGGGTTTGGCAGACGTGACCGATGGCTGCAGAAGAATACCCTCAGCCAGGGTACCCCGGTGCCTTCCCTCCTGGTGCCACCAAACTGTGGCTCCTACCTTTAGGACCGGGAATGAAACACACCCCCCCATCCCCAGGGACACCAAGGCTGCTGTTCTTTACCACCAGCATCGCTGGTGGAACTCGCAGAATCTCAAATACCCTCTGTGACCTCCGTCGTAGTCGGGCTAGCGGAGTTGAAATGGCTAGGGATATGCCTGGGGTGGCTTTGCAACAGGGAGGGTCTTAGCCCCGGCTCCTTCCTCTTGCCCCAGGGTTTTCCCTGGCTCCTTCCGAAACCCGGCGTCCCTGCAGCCAGTGGAAACCCAGCCTCGCCAGCCTTTCTAGCCAGTGGCGGGGGAGGCACCGGGCCTGGGAGGAACCACAGCTCCTGCCTCGCAGGGGAAGTGAGAAACTGCTGTGGAAAGTCAAAGACAGTCAAAACCTCCCCCCAAAAACTACTCACCCCACTATCGGTCCCGTCAGACGGCGCCTGTCAGCCAGCCAGCCTGCTGGGGGTGGCGGAGGTGGTTGGGCTCGGCTGGTCCCCAGCCATGTGCAGGGGGGAAGCTGGTGTGGAGGGAGCCTCTCCAGCTCAAGACCCTGCTGTACACCCGTGGCAGAGACCCCTGAAACCAGGGGACCCCATACAGACCCCTGAGCATGCATGGGCAACAGGTTCACTTTATTCTTTCATCTTAACCACCACATTTTTTGTCTCCCCCTGCTCTCCATGCAGGCAAGACGGACAACCCCCAGCCCTGTGCGTAAGGAGGGAGAAGCGCCCATGGAGGGGGCTGCCCGTCTCCCCCAGGCCCAGGCAGGCAGGCCGAGCAGGAGGGGAGCACTGCCCCACCACGCTGGTGGGCAGGATTCATGGGAGGGGATTGGAGGGGCACTCAGCAGCTGAGGAATCCAATGTGGATCCAAAGGCTGCTTTTGCAAACTGCAGATGCTGGCGGCGTCCCGTGGAGGAGACGCTTGGCTGAAGCTCTAGCAGAAATGAGAGCAGAAGCCCTTACCTGAGCAGAAAAGGAGGGTTTTCCGACAGGATTTGTAGGGGAATTTGCTTTTCAAATTGCCACGCCGGTCGGGGTGGGCGGCGCATCCGCAGGGCTGAGCTGTGGTGGTCAGCAGGCAGGGAGTGGGAGAGGAGCATCTCCCGTGAAGCAGGTTGCTCTGCCTCCCACGAGCAGTCCTTCCAGCACCAAAACTCCCTCGGCCTGGCTTTGGCTCATTTCCCCACTCCAGATGCACAAAGGTTGCTCCAAATCACTTTGCATGGCCGGGTGCAGGATGAGGAGATGCCAAATCTGTGCTGTGGGGATGCCCCTCCTGTGACAGGCAGCGTGGCTCCTGTGGATAACTGGGAGCCCAGGACTGGATCTTCCACAGCTCCTGCCAGCAATCCATGGGGGCCTGGAGCCCAGGGGGCAGTTGCTGGGCATGTGGACCGACCTCTCCACCATCCTCAGCCCCCAGGCTGAGACGGAGACCCATCCTGGGTCATGCGGAGCCTCAGCCGTATGAAGGCTCAGCTCCACCAGCGTGTTTAGGTCTGGGAGAGGAGTTGTGGTGAGGAAGTTGGGCCTTGGCACCTGTTGCAGCTCCTGTGGTTCCCCTTATGGGACAGATGCCACAAGCCTGGCTCCAGTGCCAGAGCAGGGGAGAAGAGGGAGGGTCACCCTTCAACAGCAGCTGCTGGTCCTGCAGTCCCCGAGAAGAGGGAGGGTCCCCCTCCAACAGCAGCAGCTGGTCCTGCAGTCCCCGAGAGAGCTCGGGCTTCGGCAGAGGGTCACTTCCCTGTCATCAAAGGGACCAGTGGGTGACTCTACCACGAGCTGTGGCCCTTGGTGGCTCACTGGCACTTGGTGGCAGTGCTCCCACACCTTGCTTGGCCACCACTGGCTCGGTCCCCAGAGAACCCTGGGCAAGGAAGCCACCTCACTGAAGGAAAGGCTTACCTGGGCTACCACCACCCAGGTGTCACTTCATGTGAATACCACCCCCCAGCACTTCTAATTGCCTAACCACTCCCTCTGGGGCCAGATTCTCACCCAACCTGTTGGCCAGCCTCTGTTCAGCCAGAGGGGTTGGTGGCTGTAATTTCTTGGGAACAGCAATCCCACACTAACGAGCTCATTTCCAAAGCAGAGCCCTTCCTGTGAAGTACAGCCACTCACGGGTGGGTGAACAAGACTGTGTGCAGAGAGACGCCCCGGCCCAGCCCCGCTGGGCAGCTCTGGCACACGGGCAAAGCTTTGAAGACACTCACATAAATTAAGTCATCCCGCCTACGCTTGCATCACTCCCTGCCTGGTTCTGTGCGGCGTGGAAACATCCGTCACCGGGAGCCCTGTCATCCCAAGTGACATGCGGCATTTCTGCAGCCACCATGAGCTGAAGTGATGGGTTGTCTGGAATGACAAGCTCACGGAGCTCCTCTAGACCAGCAGTCTCTGCTGCCTGCCGCTGGTCCTCCCTGACTTCAGGGATTGTAGGTCGGAGCAAAGACAGATTTATTCCCCCCCTCTTTCCTCCCTTGCCTCCTGCTTGGGAAGACAGACTCATTTCCCATCCCCTGGGTACTCGGCTGCAGAGGGGGTTCCCACGACTGCCGGTGGACGCCTGCCACCGCGTGAGAGAGCCCGGAGGGAGGAGAGACCTGGATATCACAGTGTGCAGAAGACTGAGGAGGGGGGAGGATTGTGAATGGAGCAGATGCTGGATGTGCCTTACTTCATATGGCCCCAAGCCTCCTTTTATTGAGGTCAGTAGCAAAAATTGAGCTAATGGCAGCAGTGTGGGACTTGATCCTAATGTAATTCCCTGCTTCCCTCTCCATCTTCCTTTCCCCCCCTCCTTCTGCTATGCCAGCACCATGTCCCCAGGAATCGCCCATCCCAGCAGCAAATCTGTCCTGGCACAATGGCAGCCTTGCAAAGAGCACAGCGGTCCCCGCCACGCTCCGTCCTCGCCGGCTGCGTCTCCTCTGCCTCCTCCTGCCAGCGTGGCTGCTGTTGGCTACTTGGTGTGAGCCCCTTTGGCTTCCTTCAGTGCTCATGGACATAACTTGGGATTCGGCACAAGTGGGAAAGTGGAAAAGGGCAGTCGTCCTACAAGGCTGGTCTTGTGCAAGGCAAAACTCGGTCCTGAGCCAGCTCGTGTCCGCACAAGGCTTTCCCTGCCCCAGGATTGGTTCTGGGCAGCTCCAGCCCTGTTCACCCGGCCCTCAACCTCTCTCCTCGCTGGCGCAGTTCTGGGTGGTTTTGGTGGTGACCAGGGCTGTGGCTCCCAGCTCGGTGGCGGGCAGCGGGAAGCCATGGTTGCACTCTTCACGTCGGGGGTAGACGGTGGAGAGCAGGACGATGTCGCCATCAGCATCGCCCTGGCAGCACGGCCTCCGCTTTGCCCCAGCTTTCCTGTGCAGCCCTGGTATCTTCAGGCCTCCGTTGAGATTTGGACATGGGGCCAGGGAGGCATCTCCCTCCAGCACAGCAGGGTCCGGGAAGGCCAGGCTGGGCAGGGAGCCAGCAGCATCCACATTTGCTGGGAGAGGACAAGAAAAGGGGGTTAAAGGACTCACAAAATGGGACCAGGTAGATCCTGGGAAGAGGGTCTCATCCTTGGGGACACACAGTGGGGCTGGAGCAGGAGGAGCCTGCAAGCTCCCTCCCACAGCTCTCCTGCTGCAGAGCTCCTCCTGCTTACAACTGGTGTTTCCCACGCCCCAAAAAAGCCATAGGGAAAGGCAAAAGGTCTCACCTCGAGCCCTCCTGCTGACCCCCGCCGTAGCAGAGCAGCCCAGCCCTCCGTGGCTCGCCCTCCCTGACCGCCTCCCGTTAAAAATAGACTTGTTTACCCGCTGCGGACGCAGGCGCGTGCTGCCAGCACCAAGCCTCCTGCCCTTTCCAGGCACCCAGGGCTTGCCGAGGTGCAGCCCAGGTGGTCAGTGGGGACAGGGACCAGGCATGTGCCAGGGGAGCAGCCAAGGGGTGCCTCCAACACTCCTCAGCATGGCAGGACCTCTCTTGCTGCTGGATTTTTCCCTCCTCTTTCGTTCTCGGTGTTTTTCCCGGGTGGGTATGTCACGGGCTGTCAGAGTCGAACTCAGTTTAGCAGAAAAGCCCCAGGTAATGTCCCCCCATGGGCTGAGTCACCCGGCCAGCACCGCTGCCTGCGTGTGGTCAAGACGGAGGGCAAGGACTGGCTGCTCCCAGCCTCACCACCACCCAAGGGCACCCACCCAGGCGGTGGGGCCATGGTGGGTGCCAGTAACCCCCAAAGTGGCCCTTATGGGGGTCTCAGGGAGCCATACCACTGGCCCAGGGATGGGGAGTGGTGAAGCCAGATGAGACTGTTTCCAAGAAGAGTGGCCAGGGTTGAGTCAGCGCCAGGGAGTGGGTCCCCAGGGGAGGAAACAGCCACCAAGGCCCTGGCTCATACCCCAACAAGTTGAGCCATCACAGGGCACTGTGGCCTCAACCCCCTGGAAATACCCTGCCAGGAAAGACTCAGACCCATCCCTCATTTACCAGGGTCTTTTGGTGCCTTTGGGGATGACTCTGCATGGTGCTTCAGTGTCCTGCCAATGGGGCTGGCCCCAACACCATCGGGGTCTTTGGTGTGCATGTTGGAGGGCACTGGGCACCCCAAACAGCAATGCCAGGCTGGGCGGTCAACACAGACCCCCATGTACAGCACTGCAGGGAGAGGCTCCCTCTGGAGCCATCCCCAGATGTCCACCACCACCCCCGCAGCCCCTCCTCCATCCATGGCCCTCTGGCTATGTGGGGAGAGGGACAGGCAACTTGCTGGTGCTCCGTACATGTTCCCAGTGGAGAGGGGACAGTGCCAGCGTGTGATTTAAGCAAGCGAAGGCACGTGGAGACCTGGCAAAAGGAGGGACAGTTCAGCAGAGCTGTGCTGGGACCCACGTGCAGGTTTGGGTTCCCAGGAGGGACAGGACACCATCACTCAGGGGGTGGGTCAGCTGCCCTAAAATTCTTCGAGGTGCCCATGGATCCCATGACAAGGTGGAGGAGGTGGTCTTGACAATGCCATGCCATGGGGAAGCTGGTGGCAAGTGATCCCATCTGCCCAAGGAGCCTTGGGATGTTGCGACAGTGAGAGCAAGAGGTCTCCTACCTTCAGCCTCAACATCTGCCGCCTTCCTCTTCCTCCTCTGTTTGCCCACCTTGCAGGCCAGGAAGCCCCAGAGAGCAGCCAGGGCCAGGATGAGCCCCACCACCGACGGGATCCCAAAGATCAGGAGGGTGCTGGGCAGGTCCACCGAGGGGAGGGTGGGGGCCAGGGTAGATGTGGGTGCCGCACGGGCGGGCTCTGCTGTGGGATGAGACACCAGCAGTGTCAGGAGAGGGAGAGCTGGGATGAGGGAAGGAGGGTCGCACCGCTACCCCCCCATCTGTCCAGCCCCCAGACTGCAGAGGTGCGGAAGGAGACGGGCTCCTCACCACCACCCACCCACCACCTGCAATGAACCATCCCTCTACCTGGCAGCAGCCTTGTCACATCCACTGCCATTCCCAGATGGTGGGAGATGAGGGCATTCTGCTCTTCCCATGGCCACTCCTGGGGCAGGCTGTGACCCCAGTGCCAGGCTGGATCATCCCTCTTCTCCCCGCACCACATTCCTCTCGCTGGCACTGGCTGCCCTTTTCCTCCCTCCTCCAGGTGAACGTAGTGCTCCACCCTCCATCGCCGTCACCGCAGGAGAAGGTCCCCTCCACCTGCCCACCCCCAGGGTAGCCCCAGTCCCCTTGGCCCACCACGGCCCACCCCGGGGAGCTCGCTCCCTGGCCGCCCTCGTCCCCTTACTTGTGTTGTCCTTGAACAAGTCGGAGCACTTGACACAGGACCTGGTCAGGAGGTCGAAGCACTGGGAGGAGAGGCAGGAGGAGGAAGCGGCGGCTTTTCCCGACGAGGACATGGCAGAGCGGGAGAGAGAGCCCTGTTCCCGCATGGCGCAGCGGCGAAGGGGCCGCCCGAGTGTGAAATCGCAGCGCCCCGGGGCCCGTGGCAGAGGGAGATACAGTCTGTCAGGCTGTGGCGTCTCCCTTGGGGCTCGCGATGGCTGCGCTTGCCCCGGGGCGGATCTTCCCCGGGGAGGAGGAGAGCAAGCGCCCAAGCCCTACCCCTGCCTGTGCAGCGCACCCTCAAACTACCCCTCTCCTCCCAGATATGCTCCTGAAATCCCCACGGCCCCCGGGGCACCCCAGCCACGCAGCACCCCATGCCCAGTGCCAGGGCACCCCAGCCTGACAGTGTCACCTCCTCACCCCCTTGCTGCCAGCCCAGGGCGTTCCCTACCCCGCACCCTCCATCGCCGGCTGCCGAACCTTGGTGGCCTCTGGTGCCTACAGGAGGCTTTCCTGTGCCCAGGTCTTTACAAGACTCTGTCCCAGGGCCACGGATCTGGCTCAGATGGAAAATGCAGAAAAGGGCCAGAGGAGAACGAGTGCAAGGGCACAGATGTTTCCCCTTTTAAAAGCTCCCACTGCCCCCCAGGACACGGCCTGTTGGTGGCTGCTGCGCAGGCAGGCCAGTTGGTGTGTGTGCTCCATCCCTACCAACGACGGTGCTCTCCCTCACCTCCCTCTCTCCATCCCAGACCCAGCCCCTTGGCAAGGACCCTCCCAGCCCCTTGGCACCACATCCTGGTCAGTGGCTGCCCGGGGCACGGACACAGCAGGCCAGACCAGTCCCTATACCCATGGAAGGGACTATGGAAACCCTTAATGGTCTTTGATGTTCCCGATGATGAGCAGGAGAAACTTTCCGCCACCAGTACCTGTACGTCAAAGCCTCAGGCCTGAGATCCGAAGTGGCTAAGTGATGGATGTCAGTGCTGCAGGTGGCTCTTCTCTGTCCTTACCAAACAAAACTCACATCCCCTTTTCCTTCACCCCGTAGGAAAAAAAGGGACCAGGAACAGTTTCTGGCTTGCTCTCAGCTAAAGGAAGCGGTACAGGAGAGCTGCCTCAGCCTAGTGGGGTTTTACTGCTGGAGTCCCAACCTTTCAGCGGCTACAGTCTCCAGGCTCTTTCTAGCGAGGTCCTTCCACTCATTTACCTGGAGCGAAGCTGGGAGGGGAGGAGAAGTGCAAAAGGATGCGCTGGCAGGAGGTGACAGAGCACCAGGCATCCCCTGAGCGACTGGCCTCACCTGAGCTCAGCAGAGGACTTGGTCCCTGGTTATGCTGCACCTCTACAGTGGCTTTTGGGCAAGCTGAGCTCACAGCCAACACACCCCACCTCCTGAAGCCCATGGAAAATACAGGCATCAGTTTTCCATGCTGGGTCACAGCCTAAGCATGGCTCTCCAGCACCCCACACCCCAACAGGCAGGAGCTGCCCTATGGAAGGGCCCTCCTGGCCCCCTGGCTGCATCTCCCTCCCTGCCAGCGGCATCCCCAGAGGGCAGCTTGCACTAGGGCAGCGCCAAACTGTCCCCAGCACCATCTCAACCCTCCCCATCGGGCACCACAGGGCTCTGGGTGAGTGAAAGTCCCAACCAAAACCGGTAGCTGCCCACCGGTTCCACGCCTGCCGAGATTTCACTTCCCTTTCCAGCCGGCATGCCCGGCCGCTTGCGTCCTTGCCCCTCGCACACGTGCACACACGCCCGGCTGCCGAGGAGCCTCCTGCCCGGCCACACCGTGCCGCTGGCGATGGCTAGGCCAAGCCTGAAGGGCCACGGGCTCCGAGGAGGAGCTGCAGGAGCCCAGCTGCCATCCTTGAGCCTGTGACTCGGTTGTTCCCCCCCCGTCTTAGTCA